CCCCTTGTCCGTTCACTCTTCCATTGTTCCCTTGGTGAATTTGTGCCATTGATGTGGTGACCGCAGCAGATACAACTGCCTGGAATGCAGCTGAGTCAACTTCGGGTGGGGTTGGTCCTGGGTTTCCACGAGTGGGTCGTGGAGGCATCTTTCTGTCATAGAACGGAAAGATGTTGAGTGTATGTGGTTTTTGTGAGGTTGTGATCCTATAGACTAGGTGTGTGGCACAACTTAAGTACTTCTACAATTTAGCATACAATCATGGATACATAACACATAGCAGATTATAACGTCATAATAAAACATATAAAATATTTCATTACTATTATCCGTACATTGATACATGAAAATTTTGCTCGAAAGAGCATACATAAGCGGTACTAGTTCGACAGCATAACGACTCTATGAGTAGTGTAGTCACTTAAACATAGAGTCAGGGTACATAATATAGATCCTAATGACCTAGTAAGATAAGTTTATCCCTAGCACTCCATGGTGTGTCCTAAGATAGTTGCGAGATCATATGTCGAAGTGTTGAGCCAACAACTGAGCCATCTCAGTCATGTCTCCGATGACCTCATCCCTCTCCTGCTCAGCTTGCACTGCACGTGCTTCCATGATGAATAGTTGTTGCTGCAGGGCGACAATCTCAGCTTCGGGAGAGCGATTCTCCCTTGCGGGGTTCACTGGTGGGGTGGGGTGGTCCGGTTGTGCCTCGCCGACAAATAATGTGGTGTTATCCTTGCCCAAGCCTTGTCCTTCCTCCATGTCATCATCGGTCTCCTCAAACTTATAGTCAGTGTCCGTGTACTCGTCAGGTCCGATGTCGTGTGCTTCCCCCTAATTCCCTTCAGGTTCATCTTCGAGCATCCCGTGAGCCACTAGGACTTGATGAAACTGAATGCCCTGCTGCTCTCTTTCCATGAAGAATGGGAGAAGGTATACGAATAAACTATCATTATCCTATGACTCTACAACTACTGTACATACTAAACAGATGTTCTCTTTTTGGTGATAAAGAGGTATGTTCTTGGGTTCCCTAGCTATCACGATCTCCTCAGAACGTGTGATAGTTATACCTTGGAGGGAATGTAGTTGATTAGGCTACATCCACCCCTTGACATGACTAGAACAGTTCTGGCTTAACCGAGATACTAGCATTATCTTGTTTGGTTAGGTATTACGTTCTTTTTCCTAACACAAGCAAGGATGTTTTTATTGTTATGTTTTACTTGTTTTGTTCAGAGTTGTGTTAGTCCCTCTTTTTGGTTTATAGTTGCATATCAATGTGTGGTTAGATATGCTAGTTCACTATAAAAAGAGCTCTGATACCATCCTGTCACACCCCCGAACCAGACGGCGGAAACGTCCGAGGGCCATTTTGACTCAATTGAATACTGTCACAATGATTATACATGAATCATAATATCATTCATCACCATGCATTGAAAATATTACAACAGATATTGTTTACATTCAGTACATTGTTTTGAACATTACATTTCCATAACTTAAGCCGTTCGATACTAATTTAAACAAAACACCATGACATCACTGGATACCTATTCTTTGATTTACGCATTACCTGAGAATACAAGTATTTTGGAAAACGTCAACATATGAAATGTTGGTGAGCTCATAAGTCATGTTTGAAAAATAATGATTTTTGTGAAGTTTGAAAACCCAGAAAATCCGATATTTTCTTAAACAAGTATTGTATATAAGAAAAAGTGTGGAGATCCGTAGTATGCTTGTCGATTTTTTTGTAATCGTGTGTAATTGTTAAACCTTGTATACATTTCATAGGTAAGAGTGTTGACTTCCCGGGAAAACCCGATGTTTTCCCAATACATAGAATTACATGTCTTATTTATTGTTATACCGATACGACGATTGTTTATAATTACCTAGGTGACATTGGATTAATTATGGGTTGTGAGTCATTATAATCACGCATTAATGAAAATGACTAGTATATAACTACCAAATACAGACGATCCCTTGGGCATCATCCGTACTACTCACTTAATCCAACCACCCTGACTTCTCATAGCCCCACAACTAAGGAGAAAGGAGGGTACGAAGCCCCCGTTATTTCCATAAGTTGTTCAAGGCTATCGTGAATGCGAAAGGCACTTGGCCCAAATCGCATTTAACTTCTCGACTTTGCTAGCAGTACCAATGGACCCTTGGGCCCAACAGCCCAATAAAGCTATTGAAAGTCCTTTTACATGGAATTAGGTCATAGAGGGCCCAATAACATGTAAGCGCGTTCCCTTCGGGCCTAAAGATAATGTTATTGGGCTAGCTAGGCCAAACAAGCACGATTTGAAACTTTCAAGCCCAAATGTTGAATATTGACTTCTCGTAAATTTCGCGTGTTTATTAAAGTACTAACGTTTATTGATTTTTGTTTTGTAATTGATCCTATACCGAATCAAATCGTTTGCTAACGATATTGGTGTTGAAGGTGTATTTGTTATTACGTTTCGCCAGTAGTCGTAGTGCTCGTATTTTATCTTATGGGATTTATTTGTTTATAGGTAAGAGTTTACCTTCTTATGACCCTTCTTGGATAAAATTTACACTTTTAATCCTTTGTATAAAAGAATTTCCACTTTAGTCCTTAAACCATTTTTCTTGACACTTTAGTATCACAACTTATTGAAAAGAAATTTTCAGCCCAGATTTACTTAATGAACAGCTTAAGTCCATCAAAAATGAATTTTTCTCGGTTGGAACCCCCATTTTTCGCAATCTTTACAGTTTTGGCCCAAAATGGAAAATATTTGCATTTTTGATCCCTTTTGAATTTGAAAAGCATTTTTGACCTTTAAAATAGTTTTAATACACTTGTAATCCCTTGTTTTACGAAAACTTGCATTTTCAACCCCTATATTTCAAAAATCTCGCAATTTGAGGCTTATTGGGCCGAAAAGCCCATTTTTTGCCCATTAGGTTCAAAATTTACATTTTAAGCCCCTCAAAAGTGTTGATATTCAGAAAAACTATATTAGAAACTGTTTGGACCATTTTCAACCTCCAAAAATTTTCATTTGTCGTTTTGGGCCCTTAGTTTTTGTATTTTTGACAATTTGATCCCAAAAATGGGTTGTATGTCCAAAAATGTTCATCCTAACCAAATAAATTATTTTTCTTGACTTGAATAGTGAAAAATGGTATAAGTTATGTTTATTTCATTCCTCATGTTGTAGATCTCAGTTTTTAGGTACTTTTTGGCTAACATATTCATCACAAAACACATAAAATCATACATACAAGCATAAAAATCACACAAGGCATACATTTACTCATAGATCTACACATTTGCTTGTATTCTACCCCATAAAAACTCATAAAAACTGAAAAAGAGGGGGTATGAAGCTCACCTTGGGTGTGGTTTCGGTTTTGGAAGAAAAAGATGAGAAGAATTCAATCCTAGCAACCTTTCTTGGAAGATCTCGAACTTGGATGCTTCTTAGGTACTAGATCATAAGTTTGAATGAATTAAGAGTTGATTTTTGAATGAAATGAAGTAGCTAGCTTATGGATCTAAGCAATATCTTACCTTAGATGATGATTTTTATGGAAGAAGTTCCTTAAACACTTCTTAGATCTCGAAAATATGGAGGGGAGATGAGAGAGTTTCTTGAGAGAATTGTGAGTGAAATGTGTGTGTGTGTGTGCTTGGATTCGGCCGAGAGCAAGAGAGAGAGGGAGAAGAAGAGAGTGCTTGCATGGAAGTATGGGAAATGCATGGAAATCCTTTTAGGAAATTGTAAGGTGGATCACACACAAAGTTAACTCTTCCTCTTTGTGGGCTTGGGCCGAGAATGGAGAGGGAAAGAGAAGTTTTTTGGGCTTTTTGCTCCTAAGCCTATATTATAGTTATGTTAAGTGATGTTTGGTCCAAATAAACATAACTGTGAGTCTTATGACCTATTAGGGATAAATTAGGTTAATCATGGCCCAAAATGGTTCATATAATTAATTTATTTCATTCTAGGCCCAATATGACCAAAAATATTAAAATACATGGAAGTGGGTCCAATTAGAGCCTATTTAAGAGTTCTAAACCCAAGATAGTTAAATTGGAAGATTATTGGTCCATTAGGCCCAATAAGGAAGTCCTAGTCCAAAATGGACTTAATCAAGAACTCTTAGGGTTTCCAATTGCTTGTTGACTACTTGAAATGCTTGCATGGGGTGTTTGTTTGAAATTTTGTTGTCATAGAGTATGCATCATACATGATCTTATGTCTTTGATTCACAATTTGACTTAAGTGTTGTAGTTACAAGGCACAAAAATTTCTAGTTGTGACATTCCAAGTCGTTGGGGTTTGATACTTTCTTTTGAGATTGCATTTGCTCTTGGATGGTTTATTTCTTTAAAGTATCTCACAAAGAAAATTTTCTGATCATTAAATAAAATAAAAGTTAGATATTTAATAAATTGGTTATTTTATGTTGTTGTGGATTGGGTACATACCAAAGGTTTCAATATTACTCCGTATTTTCCTTCATAATCCCCCTCAATTGCACTATTGTTTAGAATTTCAATTGACGGTTTTTTTAAGTTGAAGACAATCACAAAAATGTAAGCAGTCTATAATGAATATAATCATATGTGAATTTCAGTTGAATATATATATATATATATATATATATATATATATATATATATATATATATATATATAGTTATGTTAAAGAATACATCATATTTGTATAATCATATGTGAATTTCAGTTGTAAAAAAATATAATATTAATAAATGAATACATCATATTGGTGTATTCATTTATGAATAAGGAAGGAATTAAGTTTAGAACATAAACTTACAGATACTCCAAATTTTAAGAAGAGTCTGTATGGTGAATTTCCAAAAGCCCTTTCCAGTTCTTGGTGGTTAAGTAAATCAGACCAAGTGTCTAAAACTTCTCCAAGAATCTCTGTGTTTGCATATAAACTTTCCATAATTGCTCTTTCTGTTATCTGACCTTATTTTGTCTGGACAACCACATCTCTGCAAATGTATAATCGAAATGTCATAGATTATTATCTATATAATAATCATATATGAATGTATATAAAATAAATTTACTTACGATGTATTGCCTTGTAAGTTGAATAACCATTCACAAACAATACTCTCCTGATGTGTCAGTTTGGGTTTTGTGTCTGTTATTCTGCATTTGAAAGGTGATTTGAAAGCATCAGCAAGCTTCTTCTCTCTTGGTTGATCCAAATCATGCTTTGATGGTCCTACTTCAGTAGGAATTGATATAGAGATTAGATTTGGATTAGGAACATTTTTCTTTGCTAATCTGATAACAACCTTTTGATGGTTGTCTTTGATTTGTTTCTTTGTAAGTGGTTTTTTTGTGAAGATTCATTAGATTTTTTACTTGAAGTTTGATCTGAATCTTGACTGAGACCTAGACTAAAGCTTCGATGATTATTTGCATGCCAGGATATTTATCATATAAATTGTTGTAAGTTAATTATAATATTTGAGTTTATATTTTGAAATGTTTATCCAAATTGTTACCTCCTTTATTTCCTTTTGTCTTATCAGCTTTTTCTACTTTCTTGTTTTCATTTTCTGACTTTTTCTTTCCTGAAAGATAAGGAACTGTGATTAAGTAATTCATATGTGAATAAGTAATGTATTCATTTATGAATAAGTAATGCATATCATTGTTTATGAATAAGAAATATTAATTTTTTATATTGCGTTATTTATTTGTGAATAATAAAACTTATTATACTAATTTATTAGTGATTCAACTATTTACCTTTATCTTCTGCATTTCCTTTCTCAGTTTCTGTATGTTTTTCTTCACCTCCATCTTTCGTGTTCTTAGCTTCTGTTCCTCCTTCATTTCTATCTTCAGAGTTTTCCTTGCCAGAAACATATACATCATATAGGAATATTTTTTATTTTTTATTCATTTATATAGTGTATTATTCACTTATGAATAAACAATGTTATTAAAAAAATCAATATAAATATTGTAATATATTTTAAGTCATTCATTTACCTATATCATCTCCCTTTGTTTTTTCAACTTTTGTTCCTTGTTCATGTACACCTTTTGATTTTTCCTTTTCTGCAAAAGTATTAGTTTTACCTGTACTCATTGGTGACCCTGGTAAAAATTTAACAAACAAAATTGTTATTGTGTATTAATATTTTTATATATTTTTTAAAAATAAAAGTAAGACAAAATTTACCTATATCAATATTATCGAAAATAGTTTTCATTTCAGGGTGATTCCAGATTTCATATTCTTGACTATTTAAACTTGAAATTCCAATTCCAAGGATATTGTCCACAATGTTGTCAACAAGTTTATCCAACAAATTTTCATTTTTCAGTTTGTTGAATAGTCTCCTCATGATTATTTTTTCCTCAGCATGATCATCTTTTTCCTCTTCATCATTCTCATTTTCATTCCTCTTTCCATCTTTCACTTTTTCTCCAATTTCACATTCTTTTTGATTCTTATCTGCATCATTCTTTATTTCTTCATTCTCTACTTCATTTGAATCAAGTAAATAATCTACTTCTGGTTGACTTGCATCATTATCACTGTCTTCTTCTCCATTTCCCTCTTTATCTTCATTTTCTTTTTGATCATTTGTTTTTTGACCCATTATTGGTGTCCAATTGATTCCTTCAACTCCAGTTTCATTACTTGGAAAATTTAAAAGTGTTGTGCTTTTAGTTTTTTCTTCAACAATCATATTTGTGATCTTTTCCTTGAAAATTCTAAAGCTTTCCTTTTCAGGGAACTTTCTCATCGCATCATTAAGCTTTGAATTCAGTTTTTCCTTCAACCTCTCAAAACTATTAATCATTTTTGATATTTTTCATTCATATGCCTATGTAACAAAAAGAAGTATATGATTAGAATTTAATATAATAATTTAATGTAATCAATATTATTAACATGTTCAAACTAATTACCTCAACAGAATGATCTTCATCTTTATCATAATCATTGTTTTCGAGATCTTTATCTCCTTCATCTTGTTCGTCAGCAAATTATTCATTTATTTCTCCAAGTCCAAATCTACCTTTTTCTTGTTCTAATGCCTCTCGATATCTAATCTTCTCTGAACTCCAATAACAAATTGTTGGACGTTTACGTGTTACTGTCAAAGCTTCTGATTGGATGTTATTAGCATAGAACAACTGCACATGAATGATAACTAATTGATATTCATATATTGTAAGGTCCTGAGAACAGATCTTACCAGTGATCAATAGAAAACACAATCACACAAAACAAGAATAGAGACGAAAAGAGAATAAACCAAGCTTTCACACGTTTTATAGCTATAAACGTATGGTACAACTCGATAGAAAGCCGTGAACAATAAAGCATCAACAACCAAAATACTATGACTAACCCTCTATTTATAGGGACCACGACTGAGAAGAGTTTACGACCGTAAGGTGTTTACAGCCGTAAACTCATTACAAACCATAAACTTGCTATAACACCTACTAACATACTCCATCTAGACCAAACTACTATTATATTGCAAAGCCTAGACCAAACCACTAATTTGGGCCCTTCAATCTCCCCCTTGGTTTGGCGCTAGCTTGAAGTTAACCTTTATTGACTACCATAACGTCTGCTTGCCCCATTGCCCCATTCCACATATGCTTGTTAAGAATCTCAGTAATCATAGTTGTATACACCTTCGCAGCATCCTCAAAAGTATCCTCTACAACCAGAATTTGAATGTTGCTTTGGTGATGAATATCCCATTTTCGGAATTGTAACAAATCTCTTCGATCATAGAGTTGAATGCATCCATTCTTGAGCTTGATGACCGCAGCGGAAGTAAGTTCATCGAAAACCCAACACTCCATTGAACTTAGAGATCCATCTTGATAATTTTGAAGCATAGGGAACTGTTTGACCTGCTTGGTTGCGGGCCACATCACAACTTGCAGAGGCTTGTCAGTTTTAGGATTAATGATATCAGAATGCTCTACTATAACAGACTCAACAGTTTTTATGGCAGGAAATCCTTTCTTAACTTGATCTTCAAGGAAGTGCTTGAACTGAGTCGCCTGTGGATTGTTTGTGAGATTGGAGAAAGGAGCTCGAGACAATTCTGTCAGATCGACCCTAGTCCATGAAATGAAATCATTACTATCTCTATAAAGCTCAGAGTTGCCACTTTTCATTAGCACGATCCACATCTTGGGAGGATCATGAAATCCCCATGAAAAAATTCCCGATCTATCACCGAAAGTATCTCTGAATCGAATGACTTCAAGATCAGTCATTGTAATCGTAGGTTCATCCCAAGAAGCATTCTGATTAGGGTTTCTTTTAAACAATAGTGGCCCTTTCTTAGCTGCTTCCTCTTGTGCATCGCGAATGGTTGCTGACACATGGGGGGCTTGAGGAGGCTCATCTTCAACACGATTAACCGCTCTTGATGTTTGACCAGTTGGAAAAGTAACTGGAAAGGCTTGAACATGTAGATTGATCTTGTATTCATCAGCAGACGTCTGGTATTTATCATCAAGGTCTTCCTCAAGCTTTTTCTTTAGCTCAAAATAGCTTGAAGTCAAGAGATTGAAGTGATCTTGAAGATCAGAAATCTGTTTTCACTTTAGATCTTTGTCCTTAGTAAGATCAGCTACTTGCATACCAAGCTTTGAATTATCAGATTAAAGCTCAGACACTTGAACATTAAGCTTTGAATTTTCAGCTTGAAGATCTGACACACGAATGTCAAGCTCAATGTTTTTCTGACTCAACACTGATATCTCCTTCTGTAGCCCTGAGATAGTTAGGTTGTCTCCTCCAGAACCACCATCCCCTATAGAAATACCGTTATCGCGAGGAAAAGGCATCAAAAATTGCTCCTCAGCCAAATGCATGGCTAATATCACAGAAGCCTCATCATGATCAGATCGAGGAGGAGTAAACCCTGGTGGAATAGAGGAACCACCAACATAAAAAGCAGTGTCTGGACCTATAGTAAAAAGTTTGGCTGTGGTAAGACTGGGAGTAGTAGTAGGTGGTATTGGGAGGCCGCTAACGAGACTTTAAATTAGCTCACTCTGCCTCAGATCCCTTATTCTTCTTTTCATCGGGGGTTGACCAGTCTATGTTGTTGCAGAATCACTCACAAATAGCTCCGAAGTAGGAGGAACATAAACAGGAGGGGAAAATTCCATAACCGTCTCCATTGGAGTGGAAATATTTTCCATTTGGATTGAAGTAGGGATTGCAGTTTGAAACATCATTAGACTCCCTTGTCTTCGTTGTTGGAAGAACAACTTCATCGACATTGTTAAATATTGTGTCAAGATTCTCATTCGACACCAAATTAGCACTACTGGCTAGAGAAGCTGCAATATCATCACGATCAAAACCAGTGAGATCATGATCACTAAAGGAATCATTTTTATCTCCCTCAACATTTTCTTCAAACTCCACATTCATTCCTGAAACATCACCTTGAGCACGATTAGACATTAAGCCATGTTCTTCTGCCACATGAGCGTCAGGAGTAGGAGTATCTTCCTTTTCAGTACTTTCATCATCGGATACATCAATAACAACGTCGTTTGGAGATGACTTCTCAGAAGATGCAGGCTCAGAAGAAGCCTGGTCAGATGAACCATAAGATTCTGTAGGTTCATTCAGTTTAGTGAACTTTCCAAACTTTTCAATCGGGTATTTTCCTTGAAAAATAACATTTCCTTTTCGATTCTGTTTGATGAGTCCTACAATGTGAGGACCCAATGATTTCATATCCAGAATATCACCTTCTTTTCTCACATCCAGAAACTGAGCATCGATGAACAACTGAAAGAATCTAGGGTACAATAAGATAGTATCCCGAGTTGAAGCTCGAATGCTCACAACAAACTCATCCAAGATGAATCTCGAAAAGTTAAACTTCACTCCTACGGCGAGAGAAACAATTGCACCAATATTCCTTTGAGAGATCTCATCTGCTCCCGATCTTCTCCCTGAAATGCAGCTAACGAACACATGTGCTAAAAATCTCCAATACGAATGTAAGAGCTTCTTTAAAGTTGAGGTGAAGTGTCTTCATAACTCATTCTCCTTAGAATTCTCTAAGTGTCTTCAATCCTAATCTCCATATGGAAATTAGGTTGATTGTCAATTAGCAACGTCTCTCTGATAAAGCTTTCATTAATCACAATTTCGCGTCCTTGAACTATAGCTTTAACAGTAAAATGACCGACATTACTCATATCCATGTTGGTAGTCGCCCAGAATTCTCTAATTAAATTCTGGGAAACAACAGGATTTACTGTAATAGCAGATGCCAAACAGCACTCCCGAAGTCTGTGAATCATTGACCGAAGATCTGAGTGAACAGCTGGAGGATCCGCCAAGACAATAGCAAGATTGTGCATATCCGCAAATTTGAGGTTCGCCATTACCCTGCACTCAACCATACCAAGTAAGTCTGTGATAAAGCCCTTTTTTTGTAAACAAATTTGGGTCAAAAATTAAAAAAAACTTTCATTTAAATCAGATCTAAATTTGCAGTCAACACTAATTTGCGGTCAACACTAGTTTGCGGTCCAAGAACCGAGTTTGCGGCCAATAAACTAGGTTTGTAGTCGACGGACAGATTTTACGACCAACACATGAAGATTGCGGTTAATAAGGATTTACGGTCGCAAATTGTGATAGTAGACTATCAATCATTCGGAGTTTGCGGCAGCAAGCATCTTGCGGCCGCAAGCTTGGGCCGTAAACTCCGTCGTGTCCTTATTAACCGCAATCTTCATGTGTTGGTCGTAAAATCTGTCCGAACTCATTACCTTCGAGACGCGGCAGCAAGCATCTTTCTCGATTTCTGCTTCGACAACTCGGTTAATCACACAATAAAATACATATTCCTAATCCAGAACTCATTACCTTCGAGACTATCGGATTAGATTTGCAAGATTTGACGAATTTTTTTTGAAGAGAGAGAGAAAGAGTGGGAGGGACGTTTGCGGCCGGAATCAAGGATATGAAGGAGATTCCGACAGTAAACTCCTTTTTGTACTCATTTACCATATACCTGATAACCACACATTATTGAGCAGAGTCCAACACAGTCAAAAATTTTAAAACAATTCTTTCTGAGGATTTTTCTAAAGGTAAATTTAAAATAAAATAAAATAAAATTAACTACGCATAAAAGAATAAAAATAAAATAAACTTATAAATTTTAACTGCAAAAAAATGAAATAAATAAAAATAAAAATAAAATTAAAAATTAAAGATAGAATAAATATAAAAATAAAAATAAAAATAAAAATAAAAATAAAAAATAAAATTACAGTAATTTAACTTCAACTAAAATATAATCTTAAAATTTAACTACTGTGACTAAATTTGTGACGCTGGGATCAAAGTTGTTGGGCAACCTTATTCCCCTTGTCGGTACCCTTATCTTTACATCTTCGTCTGATCAATCGCAAGTATTGTGGTCCACTTAAACACAAAACATTTGTGTGGACAATTTACCAATGACATGATACATGCATATATCTAATTATAACTTTATTATCATAATTGGCCCTAATTATTAAATAGATTTTTCTTATGACCATTTAACTAACTACAACCAGGGATATTATTGTCCACCTAAATCGAGCAGCGAGATCTACAGACAATCTGTATGTGTTCAATTTTAATTATACTAGAACGTGTTTCCCGCTTCCTGATATGCCCCAGCCATCAAGCACTTCCAGAGTACTCCTTACATCGGGTGAGCAGACAATAATTAAGAGAGAGGATAGATTCAGATTGTTATTACTTATAGTTTTAAAGGGATTGAGAAGTAGAAGGTTG